TCATCGCAACAGAGCCTGTGTGAAGAGTCGTGGGTGAACAGGTAGGTGGGTGGTGGTAAAAACAAACCAAACTCACAAACCCCACAAATTTCCTGCCCAAAGCTTAAAATTTAGTTGGAAAGTTTAAAATATCCGCAAGGGGAATCACTTGGGAACGATGACCAAGCAGAGTCACAAAGAGCATCATCAGCAGATGATTTAGTGAATTCACTTCCTCAAAAACATGGAGAGGTGATCAATGCAAGACCAGACCATCTCAGAACTTTCAAATGAACAAATCCACTCAGATGTTCCCCTGGACAGTTTCTCAACCATGCTATGTTTCTACTACTACCTTCGCTCCGGTGTTTGCAGGGGAAGCCGAGCTTGGGGCTGAGGTAGCCTTTCTCTTTCCTTTGGTTGCAGTCAGGCTCTTGGTTTTCTCCAAGACAAACACTAAATTCTTGAAAGCTGAGCCTGTCCACCCTGGGTGTGAATGCGGATGGTGATTTAGTCTTTGGTTTCTCCAAGTATGAACTTTATGGCCTGAGCTGCTTATTGACTTATGAGCTGATTAAAAGGCAGGAAAAAACCTCTCCCAACTAAAGACACGCACCAGACCTTTCCAAAGTTTAAATAAAGTTGAAATTCAGCAGCAGTTTGGCTGCGGTTGAGGAAAGGGAATTTCAGCCAAGTTCAGCCTTCGTATTCAGAAGGTGTTCAAGGGTCCAGCCCTGTAGCTCCCAGGAGCACAATGTCTTCCCTTAGAAAGGGAAAAAGTTTGTTTGCAACATTGGTTGCCTCCACCTTGGGCTTTGCTGAGAAGATAGAGACAGTTGTTAAGAAAATTCAGGATCCAGAGGGAGAAGGGGGAACCCGGCTGTCTAGTTTGTGGACATGGTGCAACATGATAGTGACTATCAGCTGTCCTGATCATGTCACCCCAGGGCCCCCTGGGCACACAGACTCCTGGGTCTCTGAGCCCTCATCTGTGGCTCAGTGAAGGGAGTGGCTTCTTAGGGGCTGGAGCTAAATCTTCCACATGATGTATTTGGCCAACACAGTGTTTTAACTTTTCTTCCCTTCCTTTCCCAAAATGTGTGTGCCATTAGGAAGGAAATGCCTCTACAATTCACTCTTCTAACCATTTCCTGATTTTTAACCCACTTTACACACCCACAGAATAAGGACTCTTTCAGCTTTAAAGATTCCATGAGTGAGATCTTCATGATCTCCTCACATCTTGAAATACTAAAATCACTTTGTTGAAAATATTTGTTGATGTGGGGAAAATATTCTCAATGTAGTGTTGAGTGTAACAATAATAATATCGGTACTAGAAAGTCACGTACTGAGATGTGAACTCTGGAAATCTCTGGTCTTTGAAATGAAGGGGGATGTGTTTTTTCTCTTTCTGCAGCAGATTGCATCATAATTATTAGTTTCTAAGTTCTGGGTGAACAGTCAGCTCTCTGAATGCAGGATCTATGCTAATATATTTCTTGATGTGTTCATAGAGGCAAGAGCCATTTTAGTGATATGGGAGCCACTAGGCTAAATATTTGTTGAATGAATGAATGAGTGCTTTTCTGGGTGGTAGAAATTGAGCAATGGACATATAATACTTTTATTTATTATTGAAGAGTGGGGGAGCAATCAATGATAATGTACAAAAATAAGAAAATTCATTTTCTTAACTGTCTTCATTAAAAAACGAACAACAACTTCACTGTGATACATATACACCATGGAATATTACTCAGCCATTAAAAAGAATTCATTTGAATCAGTTCTAATGAGATGGATGAAACTGGAGCCTATTACAACATTGTAAATCAACTACACTTCAATTAAAAAAAGAAATTTTAAAAAGTAAAAAAATAAATCAACAACACACAGAAGTTTTAATATCGGGCAAGTAAACAGCCTTGTTAAACAGGGCTTCTGCTGTCCTTTCAGCTTTGAGAGGAGATATTGTCAAGTCCAAGGAACCCGCACCCCCGCCCTGGAAAGCCCCTAAAGAGCACACAGTCTCCACTATAATGTCAGCATGGATCCTGAGACCCCCCAAGCCACCTCTGGGCTGAGGGAAGGGGAGAGAGCAAAACTGGGTGAGGGTTTGGGGCTTTGATATTCAAGTGAACTGGCTTTTTATTATAGAAAATGGGGCTTTTTTTTTTTTTTTTTTAATCCACAAGAGTAAGTGGAAAGCTATGGAACCTTCCTGTGAACTATACGAGATGTTAGAGAATCTTCTGAACCTCAGCTTGCTCCCCCTGTGGTAACGTATCAAATGGATGTGCCACGCGAGTGTATGCTCCTCGGTTCTTTGTCTCGTCACAACAAAGATTTGGAGTGACGGACATTAAAGCCCCTCGGCGGGTCACAGCTATCGGAGGTCAGACCGTGTTACAGCTCTCAGGTCTCGAACGGACCGTGTTACAGCTCTTAAATAAATCAGTGTTACAGCTCAGTGTTACAGCTCTATTTATTTAGATAATAGCAGGAAAATCCATCTTCGAGGCAAGAGGGCAGGTCGGTCTAAAGACGCGAAGAGAAGATCGCCCCATCGCGCGGGAGAGAGAGAGCAAAAGGAGAGAAGAGGGCTTTGGCTTCTCTCTTTATATGTTTCTCTGTCCCTGGGCCTGTCTTATGTAAATTGGGCCAGCCAGGAGTGTTGTTTGTTTTACCTGAGGCTCTCACTCCGGTCCTCGGACCTTCCTTTGTTCTATTTTCGCGGCCTTTCCCTTCCAGGTCTTTTAGCCACCGCCATTTTGGACTCTTTTTTCCCTATTCTAACTACCTAACAGATGGATTCCACCTGTTGGGGATAAGAACCGCTATGTCCTTGAAGAAGCCCCCCATGTCCCTGTTTCTACCAGGCCGCTGCCTCTGGTTGTCCTGGTGCTCAGTACGACCCTGAGGCAGTCAGCAAACGTTTGTAAGTGGAGTGAAAGGGGATCCTCAGGCAGCTGGGTGCAGGGCATTCAGGATACCTGGGGAGGGTCAGAGGAACAAGACAGCAGAGATGAAGGGGTGAATGCCCCCCGGGAATGACAGCTTTGGGAGGGGAGCAGTGGCTGCGTGCATTGGTGGGAGCTCCCAAACAGATCAGATCATCTTCTGGGCTCACCTCAAGCTTCAGCTTGCTTCTCCCCAAGGGACCACATCCTGCACATAGGCCCCCTCACAGGGTCCCTGTTGCCCATGGGATATGCGGAGTCAGAAATATGGCTTCATGTATAGGAGCCTGAGTAGAAACTGTGTTTTATTCCTGGTCCTGCCCCCCACCAGCCCGCACTTGCTAAAAATTTTCTGTTCAATTCATCAATTGGCAGGGTCGGGTAAGGTCTATTTAGCTCTCCATTTGGCTGTACATCAGAATTACCTGAGCTGCTATTAAAGATCCCAATGCCCAGGCTCCAACCTGGACCCATTACATCAGAATTTCTGGGGGTGGGAGCATCAAGAAAACCTTTTAAAGACCTTCCCTTTGCCCACCCCCTACAACTGATACCCATAAGCAGAGCCAAGATGAGAGCCAGGAATATACCTACATTCTGGCTGCCTCTCCTGGCCTAACCCTGGCCCCCGCTCTGACCCCTCAGAGCTCTCTCAAACCACGAATCTGGGGCTTAATGAGCAGGGGTGAGGCTGGGGTGATCCCTGCCGTCTATCTGTGAGGCTGCCTCTGGCTGTGAAGGATGTAACAGGGTCACCAGCAGTGCGGGCTGACCCCTCACAAGTGCAGTTTATGAGGCAAAAATTTCTCTCTTCATAAAAAAGTCCCAAGTTCCTGTCACGAAGGGTAATTGAGGCTTTTAGCTTCTGTGTCACAGTCACCACCCATTTCATTACGTGCCTGGTGGATCGCCCACGGGGAATTAAGTCATGTTCTTGGTCAGTGAATAGCCGAGAGGCCATATGAAACGGACACCCAGGCAGGTGACTCGGCCGGGACTCGGGTCCCTGGAGAGATTCTCTTCGTGTATCCAGACCCTCAGTTCACTCAGCCTGTCCTGGGAGGGGGCGTGCGGGGTGGGGGTGGAGGCGGGAAAATCTGGCACGGCTTCTGCTTCCTCGTCTGTAAAAAGGAGGTGACCGTGTTTATTTCTCGGGGGTGACTGTGAGGGTTAAAGGAGGCAGTGAGCGTGAAAAAGCCNGGTCACAGAGCTAGTTCCTGTGTTCCAACCATCACCCCAGGCTTGGTGCCCAGCGCGGACTCTGCACCCTAGGCCCTCCGGACTTGGGGGATGAGGGCGCCCCCTGGAGGCCTCTCCTGGGCGTGCAGTCTCAGTTCAGTCGCTCAGTTTTGTCAGACTCTTGGCGACCCCATGAGCTGCAGCATGCCAGGCCTTCCTGTCCTTCACTAACTCCCGGAGCTTGCTCAAACTCGTGTCCACCCGCCGGCAGGAGGGAGAAAACCTGGCATCGGGAGCTCCCTCCCCAGGATCAAGGTGCTGCACTGAGAAATCCAAGAACTGGTGGTGGGGACGCAGGGTACCCGGGAAGAGGGCGGATAGGGTGTGAAGATCTGGGCTTCATCCAGGCTTGGTCCTCTGCTCCAGCGCAGCAAAGATACCTACTCACCGCAAAAAATGGCCAACTGCTGACTGACCAGTTGGTTTGTCCTCCAGCCAGAGTGCTGCAGTGGGGCCAGAGTTGCCTGCGCTATGGCTTCAGGTCTGCAGCTATTAGACTGGTGATCTCAGGAGATTGAAGTAGGCATGTTGGAGAGAGTGTGTGAGAGGTGGCGAGCGTTCCTAATCCTGGTTTTCCTGGTCACAAGTGGGTGGTCTTGGGCCCAGCTAAACTCCCCCAAAATGTGGATAATAGTATCTGTTTCAATGGGATGTTGTTATTTAGTCTCTAAGCCGTATTCAACTCTTTGCGACCCCGTGGACTGTAGCCCGCTGGGGTCCTCTGTCCATGGGATTTTCCAGGCAAGGATACTCAAGTGGGTTGCCATTTCCTTCTCCAGGATCTTCCCAACCCAGGGATCGAACCTGCATCTCCCACACTGTCAGGTGAATTCTTTACCACTGAGCCACCAGGAAAGCCCCCAATGGACTGTTACAAAGATTAATTAACACATAAGAAAGCTCTTGTAAAGTTACTGGGCCAGGGCAAACACTAGGTTTGTATTTGCTATCACCCTAAATCCACGAAGGCAGTGAGACACTGCAGGTACGCCAAGCTCAGTGAATCTGAACTTATTGGTTTATTTTCTCAGGGAGCGAGTTCTCTGTCTTTGGATGCCCCTCCATGGAACCACTTTGTACTTCTCTGACCCAGCACTGCCTGGTCAAGGTGGGTAGCCCAAGCTGGGGTTCGGGTTCCATTTACTTGAGACTTGAAGACATTCTCTGTGTGCTTTTTGTTTCTTTGTTTGGTGGCATTTGGCAATCTGATATGGGTGAAATATTGTATTATATTTGTTTTAATTTGCATGTTTCTGAATACCAGTTCTAACCCCATCACTGTATTTATTTTTCTTCCTTCTAATCTCAATCCAGAAATTGACTAGTGTGTGACTTGTACTGTAGAGCTTACAAAGCACCGTCACATAATCGCTAAGGCCTCCCAACAAGGAAATGACGTGTGCATCATCCCCACTTCAGGGTTGTGGGAAGTGAGGCTAAAGGTATGAAGCACCACATCTGAGATGCAAGTGGGCCTTAATATGGATCTTCCAATGTTGGAGCCTATAATGTTCTTTCCATTAAATACCTTTCCACCAATTTGTAACAGAGCTCTACAAACTTACACATTTTAAATTCCTTTTATTACTTACTATTATTTCAGAAATAAGGTTACCTTATTTAACACTGTTATTCTGGTTATCATTTGAATGACTGCATAATACAACATTTTACTGTAATTTACTCATCAGCGCCAGATCATCTCTCATTTAGGCCATTCTGGTGTTGCTATGTTAGAAGCAATGCTACTACAGCCTTTTGGGGCCAGAGAAATTTTCTGCTCTGAATTATTTCCTTAGAGTGAATTCACAAGAATTGGATTAGGGACTCAATGAGCATTTTTACGACTCTTGATTCACCTTGGTATTATTGACCTTCAAAGGAACCAAACCTTTTTATTAGTTATCCATCAATGTATGCATTCTTTGTTTTGTTTAGTCAGTTCTCCATTCATCCATCCATCCACCCATCCATTCACCCTTCCATCCATCCATCCAATGTATACCACATGTCCTATAAATTTTAAATATATTGCAGAAATCCCAAACCAGCATGTATTCTGGTAGATGCATATGGATGTGGATATAGTGGGGGAAGTTCCTGCCCCGCCCTCCATCCTGTCTCCTAGTTGCTACCCTTTTCTTAGACCAACCCCTGTTGCCCCCTGGGTCCCCTGAGCGATAGGTTCCCAGGCTCTGCCTCCACTCCCACCCCATCCCACCCTTCTGCTTCCCTCAGCTGACTCCTTCATTGATGCTGGCAGTCCTGACTCCCTCAGCTTCCCTTTGCTTATTTTGGAAGGTCTGGCCATTTAACTGCAGCTGCTGGAGTCGTTTGGTTCCAGCAGTTTCCCTAGAGGCTGGCTGGTTGGGGGTCTATGCCAGAGACAGCTTGCCTGAGTCAAGGGAAGTCAGGACCCTGGGGGAGAAAGAGGCCAGCAGTAGCTCTAGGACATCCTCAAAGGCCAGTGGACTGTTGTAGGAGAATTGAGCCCAGTCTCAATTCTCAATTGAGCTTGGCCCCAGTCTTCCTTCATGGCGTTGGAAGGTCACGGATGTTTTTGAGATGCTCTGCTCCTTCCTACCTACAGACAGGTTATCATAGCATGTATGTGAGTGTGGTGTGTTTCTAGGAACACTGGGAAACACTGCTGAGGGGACTCTCTTTTCTTCAAGAGAATCTTGACAATGATGTTTTTAAGAAATTAAATCTTCCTTCTGTTTCTTTAGTAAATAAGTAAAACATTGCTGTGATGGAAAGTACAGATAAACAATAAAAAAAATCACTTCTGACTCCACCATCTAGCAGAGGCCATGTTAACACAGGGGGTCCACCCTTTGAAGGGGACTGGTGTGGCTAAAGTGTGGCTGGAAGGTGTGGATTAAGGCCAAATTATTTTGTGTCCCCAGGAGCCATCCGGAGAGAGGTCACGGGCCTTGTTCTCAGACCTGAGGTCAAAGCCTGATTCTGTCTATTTCCCAGTTGTGTGACCTTGGATAAGTCACTCAACTTCTCTGAACCTTTACTTGCTCATCTGTAAGATGGGAACAATAGTATCTACCTCATGGGATTAAATGACAGCAAATGTATCTCATGGCTGACATGTGGTAGAAGCTGTTCAGTCATATCAGTCCCTCCCCAGGGAGTTTGGATCATTGCCTGTGAAGTGTATTCCAAGCAAGGGAGGCAAAAATTAATTTATGACTGATTGATTCTTTGAAAATCATTTGCAGGCTCATAGGACCCAATGTCAGTGAGGCCTGAGGGAATGTACACTCTCATGGCTGCCGGAGAGAGGGTTTCATTGGTACAATTTTTCCTTGGGGAGAAGTAGGTGACATGCTTAAAAACACTTGAAAACCCCAATGTCTACCCCATAGTCCAGCAATGCTACTGTCAATAACCATCTGATGGAGATGATCACTCAAGATGTGTATATAAGTGTTCTTTCTTAGTGTTCTTTTCCATGTTAAAGTGACAAATAAGCTGTCATACAACAAAGCATGTGCATCTAACCCTGACTTGTCCTTACAATGGAAGCACTACCGGTAATGAATGAAGTTTTAAGTCTAAGTTTATTAACACAAAAGAATGTAATATATTGTTGGATGAAAAAAAGAGTGAATGTATAGTTTGATTTCTTATTTGTAAAAACTTATACTTGTACCCACATTTGTATAGAAAAATGTTTTGGGTAATTTCTATGGCTCTTATCCTTGGTTTGGGGCTTCCCTGGTGGCTCAGATGGTAAAGAACCTGCCTGTAATCCAAGAGACCCAAGTTTGAGCCCTGGGTTTGGAAGATCCCCTGGAGAAGGGAATGGCAACCACTCCAGTATTCCTGTCTGGAGAACTCCATGGACAAAGGAGCCTGGTGGACTACATCCCATGGGGTCACAAAGAGTCTCTCTCTCTCTCTCTCACACACACACACACACACACACACACACACACACACACGACTGACAACTAACACTTTCACTTTCATCGTTGGTTTAAGATGCCCTCTATTCCTTAAAGTGAATTCTCTGAGGCCAACTCTAGTGGGCGGTGTGAGTAGCCAAACACATCCCAATCAATTCAGAAACAAGCTCTTCTGCTTGCAGGGTTTGTGTTCTTCAGAATGCTCCCTGGATCATAAAACACACACCTCCAGTCTTGGTTTTCCTAATTGGGTCGGGGAGGCATGTGGAGACCCACTGCTCTCGGCCCTGTCCGCTAAGGGGAGCTCAGGTTTCCACAGAGGCAAGCTCTGCACATTAACTGTAGGGAACAGCAAGGGAAAAGGTCAGCACTGGCCTTGGGACATTGGCCTAAAAGTACTCAGGGAGCATCCATTGTATGCAACTGATGCTGAAGCTGAAACTCCAATACTTTGGCCAACTGGTGTGAAGAACTGACTCATTTGAAAAGACCCTGATGCTGAGAAAGATTGAAGGTGGGAGGATGTCAGGAAGCATTTAACAAGAGGCTTCCTGTGTGTTGTTTTGGATCTGTCAGGAACCCTCTGGCCCTTATTAATTCCTGAATATTCATTCAGGAATTAAGAGGAGAGGCACGCCTTTCCCAGGGCTGAAGAATCCAGGCATTTCTCATTATGGTGATAAGTACCCTCTTCCTTCTTATGAACCATACGGTAAAAGGTGATTGCAACTCTCTCTTTGATAGGGATGTCTTATGTTTTGTAAGTCTGGAATTTTTATCTTTGCTGAGAATAACCACCTTGTAAGACAGTATATATGCACACACCATGTTGATTAAAACACCTTTGCTCCATCAGAGCTTGGGTCCCCGTGTCTTTCTTTCTTTCTATTCTTTCTTTCTATCTCTCTTATTTCTGGCTAATTCCTTGGAGCACGGAAGCCCGCTGAACTCACTTTCTTGCCCGGGCTTCTAAGACCCTCTCGAGAAGGCACACTGCGCCTTCACCCACTCGAGAGGGCGCCTGGTGCCTACGTGCAGCGGCGCGAGCCCTGAGAACAGGACTCCACTGGCTTTCCGCGTAAACCAGGGGATATCAGCCTCTTTCTCTTACTTTCTTATCATTGACTCCGGACCACCAGGTTCTGGTCCATTAAAGGACCAGCAGGAGGAGAAGAGGATGACAGAGGATGAGATGGTTGGATGGCATCAGCGACTCAATGGACATGAGTTTGAGTAGGCTCTGGGAGTTGGTGATGGACAGGGAGGCCTGGCGTGCTGCGGTCCATAGGGTCGCAGAGTCAGACACGACTGAGCAACTGAACTGATTGTATGCAATGCACTCTGCCAGGTGAACAAAGATGAATGAGACACAGCTGCTTCCCTTAAGGAACTCAGTGACTGGTAAGAGGGGCGGGGGTGACCCAGAGGAGGAGGGGAGCCCTGCTTGGGAGAGCTGGGAGAGCAGTTCCCTACAGCATCCCTAAGGGATGGTCCCAGAGGCTAATGTTGTAAAGCCTTGACCCTGTTATCTTTAGACACAGGCTTGTGACTGAAGGATAGTCATTTTTACCCCAGATGTGTTAGGAAAGTGACTTTCTGTGTACGTGCTGCCCCGTGTGCACACACACACACACAGACGCACACACACACACACAAACTCATAACCCCAAAGGGAGATGAGAAAAGTCCACTTCCCCACAGTCTGATCCCTTCAGGCTCATCCGCACAAACAATGCTGGGTGACTCATAGCTTGTGACTCAGCACTGCAGGGCTAAGGTCCTGTCGGCAAGGGGCGGACATCTCACTAGCTGTCCTTTCTGTCTTCTGAGATGGACGACCCCCCCACCCCCCAGCCTGGCCTCTACCTCCAAACCAGGTGATCCTGGAGGGGGGCAGCTCATTAGTGTAGGACGTGGGGGAGCATCCAAGAGAAACTTCTGGGCAATGCGGGTGACGGGAGGGGGTGTTACATTACAAAAGGATTTACGGAAGATGTATTTCAACACTGCATTCCCCACTGGGCATTCAGAATAGGGTATGATTTCCCAAAAAAAAATCATTTCCTGGCATCTTCTCAGGAATCCATCGATTGTGCAAAGTGAGGTTGGAGTGAGGAATGGTTGGGGGAGCAGAAGAAACTCCCCGTTGAAAAGTCAGAGTGGGCTTTGGACCTTTGGGGTCATTTCCTCCCACCACCTTGACCCCCTGTCATCACCTTTACTCTCCTCTGGCTCCCCGCTCCTTCCTCCTCATCTGGCCCTGAGCTCAGGGCTGGAGACTGAGGGGAGAGGCTGCTCTGGTCCCTGCTGGCAGCTTGATTCCCTTCAGCTACTCCTGAGAACACTGTGCCAGAGAAGCCGATTCCTTCTTCTGCTGCCAGTATTTTTATCAGGCATTCACTGTGGCTCTGCCATGTTCTAGGGTAATGAAATGAGGGTGGGGGAATGCAAGAGGCCAGACATTCAACCAGGAGCCAAAGATCTCATGTGGTGTGCCTAGGAAAGGGTGGTTTTAAATTCTCATCATGGGGTGGAGGTATACAGAAAGGCTGCCATTTGGGGGCCGGGCTTCAGTTCAGAGAAGATGTCGCTGCATTCTATAGCAGGCTTCCACTGTTCTGGGCAACCTGATATTTAGACCCTTAGGTCAGTAGCTTGGGAATGTCCCAGATTGGAGGAGAAGGGGGCTTTGCCTTTGAGATAGCCATAGGCAATCTTTTCAGGGCATCCCTGGTCTAAGAAGGAAGATGGAATTTCTCCCCTTCCTGTTCCCATCCTTCATAACAATTAATTAACATTGGCAATGGGAACCCAAAGTGGGCAGAGGAATCCAAGGTTTCTGCTAATCTCACTGGGGCCACTCATGAGATGCCTTAAACCTGGCCTTATTTGTCAGATGATTGCAAGGAATAAATGAGTCCTTTGATGAGAAAGTGCTAAATAACAAAAACAACATTATTAATTATATATCATTTAAAAGACCAGGGGGACTTCCCTGGTGGTCCAGTGGCTAAGACTCCAAGCTCCCAGAGCAGGGGACC